CGCCCACAACAAAAATCACACTAAGTAGGAAAACATTGAAAGTTTTTCTTTGAAAATCAGGACCAAAGTAAAGATGCCTGCCATCATTATTTCAAGTCAGCATTTTAGAGAGTTCTTGTGCAGCACAATAAGGAAAATAAACACATAAGAACTGAAATGAAGGAAATAAAACTATCATTTTTTTGTGAATGATATGATTGTCTACAGTAGTGTTGACAAAGAATTAAACTCTGTAAAATATTTTGAGAGATTTATTCTGAGCCAAATATGAGTGACCATGGACTGTGACATGACCCTCAGAGGGTCCCGAGAACATGTGCCCAAGGTGTTTGGGGTACTGCTTTGGTTTTATATATTTTAGGGAGGCATGAGACATCAATCAAATACATTTAAGAAATACATTAGTTTGGTTCAGAAAGGCGGGACAACTCAAAGCAGGGGGCTTCCAGGCTATAGGTAAATTTTAACATTTACTGGTTGACAGTTGGTTGAGGCTATCTGAAGACCTGGGATCAATAGAAAGGAAGTGTTTAGGCTAATATAAAGCCTAAACGTTTGTGGAGACAAATGTGCAGACCAAGCTTTTTTGTGCAGAGGAAGCTCTCAGTACCAGACTTCAGAGACAACAGATTGTAAAATGTTTCTTATAGGACCTAAAAGAGTGTCTGGCTCTTAGTTGATTATCTCCTGGATCTGGAAAGGAAGGAAGGAAAAAAATGAGTGGGAAGAGATTCTCTATACAATGTGGATTTTTCCCACAAGGGATGGCTTTGCAGGGTCATTTCAAGATATGGCAGAGAAACATCTTTTGGGGTAAAACATTTTTATTTTCTTCCTTGTTATGCCAGAGTCAAACTGGAAAGTATGTCATGATATACACGCTATACATCAGAAATAAAACCCATCTGATGAGAATTTATGTTTTGGAGGACATGACTTCGCAGACCCCTTAGATAGCAATTGGGGCAAGATTAAAAAATCAGAGCTTAGTTCTCAGTAGAAATCCCTAAAGAATCTAAAAATAACTTCCTGGACATACTAGAAGATTTCAATAAGATCAACATAAAAATTCAGTTTCATTTCTATATACTAGACACCATCTAAAAACTATTTTAAAAAATAAATATTAATATTATTGATGTACAATACCACTAAACTAAGTTCTAGGGGAAAAAAACCTAACAAAGATGTGTAAAATCTATACATAAAAATTATAAAATTTTAGCAAAAAGCATTAAAGGACATCTAAATGGACAAAGATCCCATTTTTATGATAAACACATGAATTTTCTCCAAGTTGATCTACAGATGTAATGAATTACAGTCAAAATCCCCAAAAGATTTTTCATAGAACATAAGAAGTTGATCCTAATATATACTGAGGAGCAGATGTCAAAGATAGCCAAGATATTTCTGAAGAAAAATAAAGAGGGCAGAATTATTCTAGCAGATACAGTGATTTTTAAATAAAGTTATAGTAATTGAGAGAGTGTGGTCTTGGTGCAGGAATAAATGAGCTGACTGGTAGACAGAAATAGAGGGCCAGGAATCAAACTCATGCATATTTGAATTTTTAAGATGGGCTGGAAGTACAGAACTGGAGAAGGCAAGATTGAATAACAAGTGGAGCTGAAAAACTGGTTATCCATGTGGAAAAATGAAATCAGATCTTACTTCACACCATATACAAAAATCAAACCTAGAAGGATTAAGAGCTTACATGTTAAAAGCACACTTTCACTTTTAGAGAAAAATAAGCTAATATTGTTCTGATCTTAGAATAGGGAGGAATTTCCTAAATAACACCCAAAAATATGCTGACCACTAGAGACAATATTCACAAATTCAGATACATTGGAATTAGTCAACGAAACATGTAATAAAAATATTTTAAAGAAAGAAGAAAAATTCCAACTGAAGTTACTAGAATACAAAGGATTAGCATGCAGAATAGATAAGGATTCCTACAAACAAATAAAAAGGGGAAAAAAGCTGACAAAACTGCAAAAGATTCAAACACATTTCACAGAAGAGGAAATACATACAGCTAAAAAAACATGAAGGACTGTTGAACCTCATTATCAGGGAAATGTAAGTCAAAACCACAGAGATACCATTTTACACCTATTGATAAAAATTGTGTGTGACAATATTGAGTTTGAAGGGAATGTGAATCAATGTGATCACATTGCTGGTAGAAATGTAAATTAATATAACCACTTTGGAAAATAATTTGTCATAACCTTGTAAGGTTTCATGCCTGAAGACCCCGTAACTCCCCATCTAGGTATATACCCAAGAGAAACATTAGCACCCATCTAATATGAAACAGAAAAATGTTCTAAGCAAGAAGCTTCTCTTACAAAAAGAAATAGAAAGAACTCAGATGTCTATTGGAGGAAAAAATATAAATTTTAGTAGAGTTGCACAAAGGACTATAATACAGAGGTGAAAATTAATGAACTACAGCTTTACCAACCACATGAATGTTCCAGAAACACTGATGAGTGAAAAGAACACGCTAGAGAAGACTACTCTAGCCTGAGAAGATTCAATTACATATGTTTTAGGTGTTCAAGCATATTTGGTAAAATTCATCTTTAAAAAGCAAAGGAATGACAAACACCAGATTTAGAAGAGTAACCTATGTGAGAGAGGCAGACAGCAGAGATAGACCAGGGACCCTTCCCTTTCCCTTAGGTCAAGGTAAAATGGTGGTGATATTCTAGTTCTTGGTTGGGCCTTGGTTTCACCAGGTGTTCATTATTAAATAAAAGTGACGTAAAGTAAAAGAAGGCCATGCACGGGCTGATGATGATAGTGTGCCATGGATCAAGAATTTTTATTAACTGCATTCTGTGCACTTGAATTCCATTTTGTAAAAAATCAACAAAACTTAAGAATTGTAAAGAAATGTTCTTCAATCCCACTATCAAAATGCACCAAGCAGTTCCTCTTAAAAGTCTCATTTATGATCTGGAGCACGCTTTTATGCTTTCCAGTGAAGTGTTGCCTTTCTTGTCAACAAACTGTCAGTCAGCACTGCACCACTTCCAGCAGTTCTGAGGTCAGGGGAAAGATGTTGAAAACCTTGGCTGGGAACTTTAACATAGAAACAAAAAAGGTGTCAGCTAAGGTTTCTTAGGAACAGTTGTTCATTTGTTTATTTTAAAAATCTGGTCCCAAAAAAGTCTCATTTAAATTCTAGGGGGAAAAAACAAATGAGAGTATAGCAAAGTAAATGTTATTTCTATGTGCCAGGTCACATTTATATTGTAATGTGTCTTGCACTTTTCTTGGGTGTAATATCTTATTAAAATATTCTTTATAACTTTATACAGCCCACAGTTTCCACATAGCAATATAGAAAAGCATTTTGATTTAGAAAGAGCAGCAAAAAAAAAAAAAAGGTAGTTTGGGAAGCTAGAATGTATGTGCACTTAGAGTACCATCCCAGGCCAGGCTTGGTGGCTCACGCCTGTAATCCCAGCATTTAAGAAGCCCAAGGAGCAGGCATTACTCGAGCCCAGGAGTTCAAGATCAGCCTGAGCAACAAAGTGAGAAACGGTCTTTACAAAAAATAAAAATAAAAAAATTAGCCAGGTATAGTGGCATGCACCTGCAGTCCCAGCTACTCAGGAGACAGGCAAGAGGATCGCTTGAGTCCAGGAAGTTGAGGCTGTAGGGAGCTGCGACTGTGCCACTGCACTTCACCCTGGGTGACAGAGTGAGATCCTGTCTCAAATAAGTAAATCAGTGTTTGTTCACTTAGATGCCAGACAAGCAAATGCACAATCTCCACTGTGTCATGAGCAGGGCTTCAGAGATGGACACTATGGTACTGTGGAAAGTGACTGGACTTAAGCATCAAATGAAAACCCATTTGCTAAGTCTCTGCTGTGCTTCCAACCAGCTGTGTATTCCTGAACTTCAGTTTCCCTATCTGTTTAACTCAGGGACTAAAATATGCCTTCCCTACCTCAGATGTTAGTGTATTGACAAAATAGATGTGAGCATATTACTGGCCAGGTACATTCTGCCCATTACATAGTAAACCAATCACTGAGATGATGAGTTTGGCAGTGGAGAAGATTTCATTCATGAGGCAGCTAAATGAGGAGCTGAAGAATGCCTCTCAGTTCTGCCCCCCTGAAGAAGAGGCTTTAGGGATATTTATGGGATAGAGAAGCAAGGTGGTCTGAGGTATGGGGAAAGGTGACTGGAGCAAAGGAAAACGAGGCAATGGGTGATCCGAACAAGTGCAGTCAAGCTTCATGGCTCTTCACAGGATGCATGTTAACAAAATGACATCATTAGTTGTGACCTGAGGGTGGAGTTTTTGGCCCTCCAACATCAAAAGGTCACCCACTGTGAAACGGGAGAGGTCCCTGAACCTCCTTGCAGGACATGCAACAAAAGTATGGCTAGTCTGTTCACACACACCATGTGTGCTCAAACCCCTATGGAAGGGGGAGCACACAGACAGGCAGGTGTAGGAATCAGGGTGAGCGCTTTTGGGCTCCGGCCCCACCGGTAGCATTTAGGGGTGGGAGCCTGTGACTCCTGAAGCCCCAGTGGATGTGCTACGGTGCTCTTTTAGCTCTGCCATCTGCAGATGACTTAAGTGTTAACCAGCTCAGTGCCTTCTTTGTACCTGGGTTTTTGTCCAGTGTCCAGGAAGAATCAAGTCACACACAGATTTGAAGGATGGTGAATGCAGGGTTTTGTTTTGTTTTGTTTTGAGACGGAGTTTCACTCTCGTTGCCCAGGCTGGAGTGTAATGGCGTGATCTCAGCTCACTGCAACCTCTGCCTCCTGGGTTCAAGCGATTCTCCTGCCTCAGCCTCCTGAGTAGTTGGAATTACAGGTGCCCACCATGAGGCCTGGCTAATTTTTGTATTTTTAGTAGAGATGGGGTTTCACCATGTTGGCCAGCTGGTCTCAAACTCCTGACCTCAGGTGATTCACCTGCCTTGGCCTCCCAAAATGCTGGGATTACAGGTATGAGCCGAATGCGGGGTTGAGGAGCGTGTTATTGAGTAATGGAGGTGGCTCTCAGCAAGATGAATGGCGAGCTGCAAAGGGGATGGAATGGGAAGCTGATTTTCCCCTGGAGTTTAGCCGTCCAATGGCCAATCTCTCCTCCCTGACTGCACCAGCTGAAATCTTGATGTTCAGATGTTCCTTCTCTTCTCTCCTTCTCTGCCACATCATCCTGCCGCTCTTCTGCTCTTCTGTTTGCCTGCTCATCTACTTGTAGAGCCTGGGGCTTAGGGTTTATATGTGTATAAGATAGGGGGCGTGGCAGACCAAAAGGCAACATTTGGGTGTGAAAACAGGAATGCTTGTTCCCACTTCGGGTTGTGGGTTTCCAGGCTTGAGAGTGGGGCCATTGCCAAGGAACCGCCCTCTTCTAACCCAGTATTTTCCTGTCTCCTGTCCATATCAATTGGACATTTACACAGGTTCAGTTGAAGGATCGGTGGTCTCAGCCGGTTTGAAGTGGACAATGCTGACCCCAGCATCCTAAAAAACAACTGTTACCATGGTAAGCAATGCCTTAGAGATGTTATCTATAAGGAAGCTACCGGCAGATATATATTATTTAGCCATATGGATTTTAAAATCAGCTAGAAGCAAGCGACTAAAAGCAAGCAAGGCAAGATAAGCTTGGTGGGCCTTACCAGTTTAGTCCCCAGTTTCCATCAACAGCCTATGGTCAAGCAAGAGGCAGCAGGTGCGGTAACAGGAGACCAGTGGGATGCAGACAGCATGCCAATGCCCACTTTATAGTGCTTGCAACACTGGCTTACTATTTATTAATGACCACAGAGTTTAGAGCTATTTTTTTATTGCATTCCTGACAGAAATCATCAAATCATATCTGATGTGCTTGATGTCAAGTCCCTAATCAGGAATGTTAAGTCCAAATTTATAACCTCTTTTTTTTTTGAGACAGAGTTTCACTCTTGTTGCCCAGGCTGGAGTGCAATGGCGTGATGTCGGCTCACTGCAACCTCCACCTCCCAGGTTCAAGCAATTCTCCTGCCTCAGCCTCCTGAGTAGCTGGAATTATAGGTGCCCGCCACCACGCCTGGCTAAATTTTTATAGTTTTGGTAGAGACAGGTTTCATCTGCCTCAGCCTCCCAAAGTGCTGGAATTACAGGCATAAGCCACTGCACCTGACAATAACCTCATTCTTATGGTAAAAAACATCCAGTTTTCAGAAACGTGTTTTATGATGCTCCAGTTTATGTGATGATTTCTAGAAAAATTTTATGGTGATAACTGAAGATTGTCAGTCACTGAAATATTAATTACATAGTCAGTGAAGAGAAAGTAAAACATACTTCTGGGCTTCACTTTACACTAGAGACGTTTTTCTAAAACGATGCCTATGAAGCAAATCTTTGTCCCCATGACTTCACATTTCTCGTTTCAAAGGCACTTTATCTTTATTTCTGGTTGATCACCCTTTGAGGGTGGCACTCCCAAAATGCCAGCTCAAAATTTCCCTGCCCTTCAGTTTCCATGACAAGTAAGTTAACGCTCTGTAAATAAATCCTGAAATGTCCTCGGGAATCTGCCACTTGAAGGAATCCTATTAGAATTCTTCTGAGATGCAAACATTTGGCTTGTTATGCGCCGCCTGAAGTTGTATACGGGGCTTTCTGGAGGGCAGTAGACCCCTAAGAACAGAGCTCCGGGCTTTCCTTTAGTTCCTCTCATTGTTTTTCAGGGACAAAAATCGTTATCTTATGTTGTTTTTTTTTTTTTTTTTTTTTTTTCCAGAGGAGTAGGAGGAAGATCTAAAATAGTTAGGTCTGGCAGCTTAATCTGGGTTGGCTGTCTCTGCCGGCAATCTGTAAAATGTGTTTTTCAAGGATAAGAAGTTTGGTCCCGGGCCAGAGCTCATGTCTGTCATCAGTGGGAAGATAAATGATCCCTGTAACCTACTGCTATGCGCTGTTTACCCTTGTGCTTAAACATGAATACGTTGCCTTTCGTAGGCCCAGAGCTGCTCCAAGTGGATCCTCTGTTCCTGTCCAACAGAATCTTCGCAGGTCTGCCGTTTGGGTGAGCACAGTGGGGCCAGCCTTTTGTGAGGTGAAACACCAAACCAGCTTCCATTCTTGGGATTGGTATGTAGTTTTTTCATGTTGCCTAAGAGGCTCAGGAGGGGAACTTGAGGTATTTGTTTTTTCATGCCTGTAAAGGCCATTTCCTAAGAGGTGAGGAGCAAATGCACGTGCCTGCAAGGTAACTGTGAATGCGGCCACCGAGTCTGGGGGCAAGAGCTCTTCAGAGGAATCTGGTATCTATTCATTATGCAAAACTTCATTCTAGCTAGAACTGGGCCTGGGCTACACTTAAAGCTTAAAGGGATGCCTGTTAAACCATGTTTCCTGTTTCCTGTAGAACCTAACCACACTAGTGCTGAAAATGTCAAAGCTCATAGTAGAGGGTTGGGGCATGAGAAAGGGACGGCATTGGCAGAAGGCGAGTCGCGTGACCACTGCCTTCTCCACGCTCTTCTCCCGTCCCTTGCCTCCCCGGAAAAGCTGGTTTACTCAGGAGTCACTGCTTCAGCAGCCGCACAAGGCAAACGCCTCGGGGAAGCCGGGCACAGGCTGGGGTTGCCTCTTGCCTGCCCCTGCCCTGCCTCCTGCTCCAGCAGGCAGTGAATAAGTCGCCCAGTTGGCCCAGCTTCCCCAAATCCCATATCCCACGCTGGGGCACAAGCATCTAGGAGGACAGGACTGCGTTGCTGGGAGGTGGAGCGAGAAGGATGAAGGAGCCGCAGAATCAAAATAGCACAGTCAACTCATTTCTACTGAAAGATTCAGAAAGGAAAGGTTCCGTTCTTTAGCTTGTAAGTTCAAGTCAAACATTACTTTTTATTTTACTTTGTTTACTTGTTTTTTGAGACAGGGTCTCCTCTGTCGCCCAGGCTGGAGTGCAGTGGCACAGTCGTGGTTCACTGCAGCCTCCAACACCTGGGCTCCAGGATCCTCCTGCCTTAGCCTCCCAAGTAGCTGGGACCACAGGCATGCACCACGATGGCTAACCAATTTTTTTTTTTTAAGAGACAGGCTCTCACTCTGTTGCCCAGGGCTGGTCTCCAACTCTTGGGCTCAAGCAATCCTCCCACCTTGGCCTCCCAAAGTGATGGGATTGCAGGTATGAGCCACCATGCCTGGCCGAACATTACTTTTTATAAGACATATATTTTTTTTCTGAAATAAGGTCCAGTGAAACCCACGTTGTTTGCCTTTAAGAAACCATGACCCAAAAGAGCACTACCCATTCCCGCCCAGGCTTGTTGCATTCACCCACTGAATTGCTTATTCAACGCGCACACATGGGGCTCCAGCCAAGTGCTGGATGAGAAAGACGCAGGCCTGTCTCAGGAGCTCACAGTGTAGCAAGGAGAAAACAGGTTAATGCGTGGTTTCCAGTGAGCAGCTAGGGCTCAGATAAGGCGCAGCAGAAGTGGTCACGGGAGCCCAGAGAAAAGACCCCAAATCAGCCTAGGTGCAGCTAGAGAGAGACAGTGGCCACTGGACTGAGGGAAGGAGAGACTCACCTACCAAGCAGGTACACTGCCCTGGTTAGGGGTTGCCTGCTCTGGCCTCCATTTTTTCACCTGCCAGATAAGCAGTCAGAGGAGTGACTCTAAGCCCTTGCCGTATTGATAAGCCTGTGGTTCCCTTCATGTGCATCTCTGCAGAGCTCAGTAGCTCTCAAAAGACAGAGGCCAGCCTCAGGGCAGTGCAGTGGTGTATGCTGGGGCTGGGATGTGTTAGGGTCATCCTGACTCTAGGATGCAAAGGTGGCCATCGCTGGCCCCACGGTTTCATAAATTGCTTCGCAAGTGAAGAGTCTCGTGTGAGCAACATTGGCTCTGAAATCCTGTCAACTGGGTGTCATGTGCAGGCCAGGGGGAATTCAGGGCATGTGCTCACAGAGGAACCACCGGGGATTCTGGCTGTGGCAAAGGTGCTGCAGATTTGCCCCTGGGTGGATTTGTTCCCGGATGGAGAGCACTACAGCCAGCCACACCCTAGAGCACATCCCCCACTCCCTCAGCAGCCCAGCAGCCCAGCAGCCCTCTCTGTCCATTCATTGTTTAGGCAGAGCCTGAAAGAAATCTCGCCTCATCTGGTCAGCTACTCTAAGCTTATCTGTAGGGAATTTCACATCCTCTTCCCCCACCAAAAAACACACGTCATTTTGTGTAATTGTGAAATTTCAGGGACTCTTGCCTCATAAATGCATGTATTTTTCTCTTGTATGCAGTGCTATTTTCAAGACCAATATTTAAGTCTTTCTGGTGAATTCCTGCCCATCCGTCAAGATCGAGCCTGCATGGCCCCTCCTACCCATCCTGGGGGCTTCCATAGCCCTTCGTGTCATCGCCACCAGAGCTTGAGAGCACAGCCTTGCACTTTATCTGCTGACAGGTCCATCTCCCCAGCTGGCCCTGAGCGGATGCCCTGAGCGGATTCTCAGGGGCGGAACCGCATAGTGCCTGGCTTCCATCACCTAATACCAAGGCCTTTGCTGACACCAAAGCTCTGTAAATGTTGCAGTCAATTCCAAGCGTCTTTTTCTCAACTATTCTCATCTTAATTTTTGTGGTCTCAATGCCTTCCACAACGGTTTACTCTCTTACTCAGATTTCACCTATCTCACTGAATGGTGGTATTGGGTCACTTGGGGTCAGAAAACCCTTCCAAAAATGCTGACACTCAGGCTATTACTATTGCTGGAAGTGAAGAAAGTGTCCTTCTTTTCTGACCCAGGAGCCTCATGTCTTCTACCAACATCCGTGAAATTGTGGCATGCATGCTTATTAGCCTGCAAATGAGGTTAAGTCTCACTTCTTGGTGGTATGGAGCACTGCAGGGTGAGGAAGTGTGCACGCACAGGCGCAGAGGCCTGGGGAGCCCAGCCTGCTGTTAGAACTGCCAGGAGAGCAGATGACTGCGGCACACCCTTGCTGTGTGGGGTGGCAAGCAGCCTCTTCCTTCAGACTTCTGCCCAAATGTGACCTCATTAGAATGGCCTTCCCTAACCATCCCAGCGGACACAGAATCTCACATCACTCCCTGTCTCCTATATTGCTTTTCTGTCTTTCACACACGTACCACATCATCTCATGTATTTGTTGTCTATACTTCCCTACAAAATGGCAAATCCCATCAGAGAAGGAGCTTTGTTTCATTCACTGCCGTAATTAATTCTACCACTTAGGACAGTGCCCCACCCTGGTTTGTATCATGGGTTAGAGCCTGTAAGCCATGCCAGGAGCTTGGGTGAATCCTGGGAGGTCAGAAGAGCCTTTCAAATATTGTATGATTTGCATTTTAGGGCAACGATCTCTTCAGCAGTTGGGAAGTTCATTGAAGGAAGGCAAGACCACAGGAGTCTGGGAGGTCAGGTGGGAGGCAGGCGCATCATCTAGGAGGAGGGTGTTGGAGTAGATTTAAGACACTGGGCTGAAGAGGAGTGGAGGAGTGTTGAAGCTATCAAGGATGAATGGACAGGGCTTGGAGACCGATCGGATGTGGAATGCAGGTGAGTAGGGGTCACAGACGGTGATTTGGGTGACTGGCAAGTGGTTCAGAGCATTCAGGGGAAATGGGGGTGTACCTGGAGGTAAGATGTTCAACTGGGGCAAAAGTTTGACTTACTGTTATCTGCTGAACTGTGAGAAGGGCTGTTATCCTGTGTTCATTACTTGACACGATCCGATGGCCAGAAGTGTGTTGCTGGTGCCAGGGTCAGAATGCGGGAGTGTCTCAGTCCTGTGTTCGCAGACCCTAAAGGAGAAGCAGGTTACAGGGGTTTCTAGTAGTCGTTTCTGAAGTCAGCTCCAGGTTAAACAGCCCTCATTTAAGCTTACATTTTCACACTTCTCCAATTTCTGTTTTTCAATATTTTTACATTTTTAATTTATATGCCACAAAATGCACAATTCTTGGGCACACATCCCTGTGAATATTTACCTTTGCATACACCCATGGAACCACCCAAATCAAGATTCAGACCCTTTCCATATTTCCAGAAAGCTATTTGTGCCTCTTCCAAGTCCAAGGTAACCATGCTCACCCAAAGGTAACCTCTGTCTGACTTTCATCGTCTAGGATCAACAATGCTGATTCTTGAACTTCATGTAAATAGAATTGCACAGTATGTACTTTTTATATGTGTCTTGTTCTTTCAACATCATGACTATGAGGTTCACCTTTCAGAAATTTGCTGTTTTTATCATAGCTGTGTAATGTTCCATTGTATAAATATGCCATAATTTGTTTACCATTCTCCTGTTGATGGGCATCTGGGTTGTTTAGAATAAAGCTGCAATAAACTTTCTGGTCCAAGTCCTTTCTGCGTTTTCTCTCTTTTGACAATTCCAGGAAGGCCTGTGTTTTGTGTGTGTGGATGTGCGTTATTAAAGGAAAACCTTCTCAACAAGGCCTCTGCCTGGGCTACCTTTGAGAATCAGCAAATCCAAGGAGCAGTGGACAGAAGCTCTAAATCACCAGTGACCAAGGGTAATGTCACATGCCCTCAATTATTTCTGTTTTATTAGAGATCAGGAGAATTTGGAGGAAACCTCTAAGTGATTTTGAGCAGTTATTCTCATGCGCTTATAAAGACTTTCACCTCTTGCAGAGGAGCAGGGCTGGGGAAAGAGACAGAACCAGGATGTAGGTTTGGCCCCATGTACCTGCAGAATGGTATTGAGCTCCCTACAGCATGTGGCCACCAGTTAAGGGAAGGGTTTTTCTATATCACAAATGGAAAAGATTCTCATTTCTCTATCATTGTAGTCATACTGTAAACCATCTTCACTAGGGTTTGAATGAAAGAGGTAATCTAAATTCTGCTAAAGAACTTCTCACATCCTTGGTTGCTGATGACTATGACATCCTCATCGAGGCCATTTCCCTTCTAACTTTTTTCCCAAATATTTCTGATCCTCCCTGGGTAACTCTACTAGTAAATATTCAGAGATTCCGAATCCTAGACTTTTCAGGCATCCCAGGTTTTAGAAGAGAAAGAATTCTCATTGGTTAAGGACTTGCTATGTGCCAGGTACTATGTGATGTAGTGTGCATCCATTTCCTTATTTAATCTTTACAGCACAGTGAGATAGGTTTTATTATTCCCCTTTGGCAGATGAGAAAACAGAAGTGCAGAGAGGTTAATTAATTTGCCCCAAATCACAGAGCAGAGCCAGGATTTAATCTGAGATATATTTGGCTGTCTTGCCTACAGCAGATGGCTCCTAACTGTGTCTGGATGGGTATGGTGGCTCACACCTGTAATCCTAAAACTTTGGGAGGCTAAGACAGGAGGATTGCTAGAGGCCAGAAGTTCAAGACTTGCCTGGACAACATAGCAAGACTCCCATTTCTACAAAAAAAAAATAATAATAATAAATTTAAAATAAAATAAGTGTCTCTGACCAGACTTCCTAGCCTGGCTCACACTGTCTCTATGGTATAAAACATCCATATGGCCTAAAAAAAGTATTGTCTCTCAAATGACTGTGAGATTCCACTGTCCTTTTATAACTTCATGATATGGAAAATAGTCACAGTTGGCTGGATGTGGTGGCTCACGCCTGTAACCCCAGCACTTTGGGAGGCCGAGGCAGGCAGATCATCTGAGGGCAGGAGTTGGAGACCAGCCTGACCAACATGGTGAAACCCTGACTCTACTAAAAAATACAAAAATTAGCCAGGCATCGTGGCAGGCACGTGTAATCCCAGCTACTCAGGAGGCTGAGGCAGGAGAATTGCTTGAGCCTGAGAGGCAGAGGTTGCAGTGAGCTGAGATTGTGCCTTTACACTCCAGCCTGGGTGACAGAGTGAGACTCTGCCTCAAAAAAGAAAAGAAAAGAAAAGAAAATAGTCACGATCTTGAGGTGAAAGTGATGTAACCCAGAATCATATGGGTCCTCTGTGAAAAAGCTTAAGGTGACCCAGGGTGCAGTGGTGACTTCCAGAAACCTGGAGATCAAAGGTGAGCTACATAAAGGCATGGAAGATGCTGAGCGCAGTCCCAGCTTGGGGCGAGGGCACTTCCCACCCACCCGAGGGCTGTGATCAGTGCCTGCCTCCTCCCGGCCCTGCGCTGGCAGCTGCACACCACGCTGGCCCCTGCTCCGTGTACCCTGATAGCAGAGCCAGCATCATTTCATGCTTCCTGATTTCTGAGAATAGTGAATCCATCTCCCCTCCAGTTTGCCTAGAAGAGGAGCTTATTTAGATAGACACCTCCACAGAAACAGTTGTAGAAATCACTTAAGAAAACAAGAGGCTGCAAAAGGAATGTGCTGCGCGCTGTGTGGAACAATTCGCCGTCAGCATGAGCGCTCCTAGGTGGCAAGCAGCACACCGCTGCACGTCCTTCCCGAAAGGAGCCCCACTTATCCTGGATGCTGAACTGCAAATAAAAACAGCCACTAGAGTCCTAGAGTCAGGGGGAGGGGCTGGGGACAGAGGTGAATGAAGACTTTCCTCCCTGGCTTCAGATCAGCCCTTAGACAGTTCTCAGAACTCCTAAAGTCATAAGTGGTCTCTAAGTTACTGTCACATCATACCCATTTTAAGGGGGTTCAGGGCACCTGGCTGATGGGAGACTCTCCTGGAACACTCCTCCAGGCACCCCCCCACCATGCCCTGGAGGTGTTGGACTGACAAGAGACTGCTCGCTTTAGGGGACAAAGGGCACTGGGGGGTTGAGACTGCAGAGAGGGAATGCAGGGAGGAGCGCTGGCCTCAGGAGAGTGGAATCCAGCTGCCACAGAAAACTGGGAAGTGGCCTCCGAGAAGCCTCACCTCCAGTTTAGCCAAACAGTGAGTCCCCGATCACGCTGTTTCTATTACAAAAAGGAAAGGAGGGGAAAGGCTATGAATGCTGGCCTGGTTCCCAGAACAGAGGCTGCGGGGAAAATGGAAACAGCTGTTCACCCTGCCCAGTGGGCTTAGCAAGGGCAGGTCAGTGCAGAGCCAGAGGAAAACGTGGAGACCCCAGGTTCTGCTCCCTGGGACCAGAATCACCCATGCCCCACCCCTTCAAGTCTCAGCTCAGACATGGTGGGAGTAGAAAGAGCCCTGGATTGGGAGTTTCAGTTCTGGCTGAGCTCCTAACCAGCTTCCTCACGTGTCCAGGAATCATGGACTCACAGTTCCCGGAGCCCCGGAGGACCCCTCACCCACTAGGATGACTCACACGGTCCTACCGGCCCTGGCTGACAATGGTCTCTCCCATCCTGAGCTGTGCCAGGTCATCGCATCCCCATGGCTCCCTCCAGACACCCTGCTGGACAGAGCATGATGGAAGAGTGGAGAACCCCAGCCACAGGGCTCCTCTGCTCTCATCCCACCTTAGGTCTGCCCCAGCCCTGTGAGGTCCGGCCCCTGCCTCCTGTGCCTTTCATATCCCCAACAATTCTGGGGACGAGGGGAACTCAGGAAGTATTTAATGGCCGGGTTAATAATGAGCCAAGGCCGGGCTCAGTGGCTCCCACCTGTAATCCCAGCACTTTGGGAGGCCGAGGCAAGCGGATCACGAGGTCAAGAGATGGAGACCATCCTGGCCAACATGGTGAAACCCTGTCTCTACTAAAAATACAAAAATTAGCTGGGCATGGCGGCAGGTGCCTGTAGTCCCAGCTACTTAGGAGGCTGAAGTAGGAGAATCGTTTGAACTCAGGAGGTGGAGGTTGCAGCATGCCAAGATTGCACCACTGAACTCCAGCCTGGCGACGGGGTGAGACTCTGTCTCAAAAAATAAAATAACATAAAACAAAATAATTTTTAAAAATGAGCCCTGTCATAGCTTATGGTTTGGGGTCCAATAAATCTGGGTTCCAATTTGAGCCCTGCTGCCCGCTGGCTGGGAGGCTGAGACACAGGCCTTGGCCTCTCTAAGGCTCAGCTTCCTCAGCACTAAAGTGGTGGATGCTTCACAGGGCTGATGGGAGGATAAAGGAAATAAGCGTATGCCAGCAGAGGGGTTTAGTAACAGCGTTCATCTCTCCATGCATCTGGAATCCTTGCCTACTCTCTTCAGACACAGGCTCAGAAGCCAGTGGAGCCTTTCAGGGCAAGAACCTCATTGGTTTTAGGGTCACATCTGTTGCTATGGAGGCAAATGGCACATCTGCTGAGCTCCACACTAGCCTGGGGAGAGGCCTTATGGTGCGGCTGTTTCCCAACCGGCAGTGGTGAGGTGTGCAGCAGGGCCCTGTTTAAACACAGAGAGGCGGGAGCCCTCGCCCTGCACCTCAGATTTGTCAGACACCTGCTCCCTGATGCGCTCCCCAGGCCTCACCTCTTGGTGGGAGTGGAGGAAGTGATGGGATGAGTCACGACAAAGACCCTTCATGGGACACATTAACTTTACAGAATAATGTTTCTGAGACAGAGTGGAGGATTTTTTTTTCTTTTTTTGCCCTCAATCACTGAAAGAGTAGAGGATTTTAACTACACATAGCGTGCTCTGGCAATTGGCAAATGTCACCCCTGCTTGCCCTAAATCTTTTTTTTTTTTTCCTTGAGACAGAGTCTTGCTCTGTCACCCAGGCTGGAGTGCAATGGCAGGATCTCGCCTCACTGTAACCTTTGCCTCCTGGGTTCAAGTGATTCTCCTGCCTCAGCCTCCCAAGTAGCTGGGACTACAGGTGTATGACACCACGCCTGGCTAATTTTTTGTATTTTTAGTACAGACGGGGTTTCACCATGTTAGCCAGGATGTTCTCGATCTCCTGACTTCATGATCTGCTCACCTTGGCCTCCCAAAGTGCTGGGATTACAGGCATGACCTACCACGCCCAGCCAGGAAAGGAGTTCTTAGCCCTATTTTTCAGACAATGGCATTGAGCTCCAGAGAGGTTGGGCAATTGCCCAAAGTCACACAGCTTATTATTCAAAGCACAGTAACTCATGCTCCTAGAGAGGACTTCCTGTCTTCTCACCACAAGCCAGGGAGGAACAAACACCGCTGTCTGGCCTCGTATACTGAGCTTTGATGAGACATTCTGTGCACACACACCCCCACGTGTGCACGCGCATACCCGCATATGTGCTCTGTTTCTTTCCTGGGTTCAGCTTCCTGTCCCTATTTATTTTCAATAAATCTCTGCTTTAGTGGCTTCATTATTTCCTTTCTTTGCTGTGCATTTTGTCCAATTCTTTGTTCAAAATGTCAAGAACCTGGACAACTTGCCGTCAATACCCTCTACCAGTAATAGTTCCAGCTGTCTCCACATACCCAGAGGCTCGCCCTAAGCCCTGCTCTGTTGAGGCCCTGGGCAGTGGAGCCACAGGAGGCAGCTCTGACCCAGTGCTCTGTCTCAGGCTGGTGCAGG